GCAAAGGAACACACTAAGTGGTAAGTACAGATTTTATGGGCAATAAAGGAAAAAGGCTAAGGTGACAGAGAGGTGAAGTTAAGGTCAACAAAAACAGAAATGATTGATTGTTTAGGTTAAGTAGCCTTTTCTTGTGAATTTCCAGTCATGGTTTTAAATAACAGGCTTACCTATGAAACAACTGACATAATCTTTCTTCATTTTGTCCAGACCAATCTCCAGAAGCATTTGAATTGGAGTGACACCACTGAGGGAAATAGCCTCCATAGCTCCATGATAGGATTGTTGAATCAATTTGCTTAGTAAACTGCTACTCTCTTGATGAATCTAAAAAATAAGATGTTTTCTTGTAATATATAGATGAAATATACAGAGTAATTTACAAGCAGGACATTATAAAAAAAAGAGACAAACTAATAGTGAACTATTTAAAAACTGAATTTAAAATATTGTCAAAATGAGAAGCAATTTACAAACATTTAAAAGAAATGTAACCTACTTTATTTACACAACCAAAGCTGATACTTTTATCATGAAAACATATTCAGGCTACACATACATACCCAAGGCTGTATCTCACCATGTTCTAGGGATTTTATGATCAGTGTGAAACACTCTACCAAGTCTTGATAGGAAGCGACACCTTGAGAAAAGAGTTATTCCAATATTTAATTTATAATGGCTACAAAAACATCTGTCTGCCTTTACCACATAAATGATAAAAAAGTTGATCAATGAACAAAATATAGGACTTTAAAAAACTCCAAGAACAACAAAACCTGCATAGAACGGCCCAAAGGTTAGTTTAAATGTGTGACTGTACCAAGAGGTCTTGCACTACACCATGAAGTTTGACAAGAGGTACGTGAGAGCAGGTTCCAGAGAATGCCCCTTTATTAATGCCTGTCCTAGAGTACAGCTCCAGAACCAACAGTGAAAGCAACTCAACAGTTTATAATTACTGTTAACAGGACATGAGGAGAGAGAGTTGATTTCTCAGTTAATGAAGTCCTAGACCGTGTCAGGCTTTATAGACTACAGTTCAAGGTGATTGTTACAAACCGAAGTAAACAGGTAACAATGTTTCACAGAAACTAAAATATGCTTTTAACTGCTTGCCCCACTTAAGAGACAAGTGTCTGCATTTTGCATCAGCAGAAACCTTCAGGTACTGATATACCTGAATAGGGTATGTTGTACATTTATATAGAGTACATTTTAGTCATCTGCTTTTGATGTTACAAAGGCATTGATTATTATGGCAATATTCACATCAGAAAAGAATTATCATGACTTCCAAGTCAGCCCTACAAGTAAAAAAAGGCATTTATGTGCCAAAACTGTCACTTGATAATCAAAAAGCAATAATGGATTTAATAAATAGGACCCTAAGACTGCAAATATTATTTGTAAAGGTTGACATCTATAACATTTTCTACAGAACTACCTACTTTAAATATATTCCATGAGCCCCAGTAAAGTCTATTTTATAGATAAATGGCTGTCAGTAACGAAGAGGTAAGCACTATTTATTGCTAAAAAGAACTAACAATCAAGTTGGCAAAGAGAAAATATGCACATAGCACAAGTCACCATACTTTCCTATAATACTGTAAGTAGAACATGCTATCTTATGATTACATGAATAACAACGAGCCTTAGGCCTGAAGAGTTAATCAGTTCTTAAAACCTGGAGAAACTTATACCAATTTCTTAAAATATATATAAAAAAGTGGTATAAGAAATGTGTAAAAATTATAAGGCAGTGAGAAAAAGATAAAACACTTACTCCTTCTCATTTTGCACCACAACTGTTCAGGAAAATCCAGGTCTCCTCGCTCACTAAAAAGTGATTTTATTGAACTGTCCACTGCAGCTGAGTCACATTGGACTTTCTGAAAGAGAGAGTTTTACTTGAAAATGGTCCTTCAAAATAAAGTCAAACATTTGTCATAACATTCTAAAGCAGTGGTGTGCAAACTTTTCCAATCGCGCCCCTCCTTTAAAATTCACAGAATTTATTGCACCCTACCCTCCATTGCCACCCTTATTTCTGCACTACTGCTGGCAACAGTGCGGCCTTAAGAGCTGGGTGGCCGGGGAGTGGTGGCTGCTCTTGTTTGCAGCGTGAGAGGACTATATTTTTAATCCTGCTCCTGTCCTGCCCCACAAGACCCACTCTATTTTTATCCTGTTCCCACTATTATGACAGAGAGTCCTGCAGGACCCACAGGATCCCAGTTTCTTCACACAGACCCCAGAGAATCTCACATGCTGTTTGCGCACCACTGTTCTAAAGAGCCACATAAATCAAATCCTCTCCAATAGCCAAGTCTATTTGCAAGATTCATATTTCTGCTCCCGCCCAATCAGTAGTTCAATAAATAAACATATTTCATAGCAATTAAGAAACATGCTTTGACCAAGTCTTAACAAAGTAGTGAGGAGCCACTGTCCTAACCTCTTGGGAAACAGCTAATTCCTAAAGGTTATGTGCCCACAAAATGACATTGTTGTTGGGAGGAAGGGTTTCTGGCCATTGCAAAGCAGAGCTTGACCAGAATGCTTGCCTAGATGAGTAAAAATTGACGCTAATTCCCTCAAACATGTCCTTCCACTGTGACTTACAATTGGCTATACCAGTATAGACTGAAAGTACTGGCATAAACAGCTGCAGTGATGGAATTAGAGAAGCACCAGTAAAGGATATGACTAATACTGCACAGATTTCACAGATGATAGAGTTGTGTGATTTTTTGTTTTGTTTTTAATGTACGACTTGCAATGTACCAAAAAAAAAAAAAAAAAAAAAAAAATTCTTCTGAGCATATGGTTTTCCCCATGATCTTTAATGCAGGACTAAGTTTATCATTTTGTTTGTGTACATAAGATACACACTGCAGTTAGTAAATCTACAATTTGATATTTTAATTCCTTCT